AGTATAACGAAGCGGCAACAGCCTAATGCCCATGATGATCCTAACAAACCGTAACGTTGCGGTATTTGACCTTCACTTGACAGTAGAAGGTAGCAGGCACAGCGGACGCACCAAACACTAAACAGTGAGCAGCCGTCTGTCGCAGCATCAGCTAAATGAGGTCACGGTCAAGTGAATCCAATGCTTGTTTATCCTGTGCTTTTTATAGGCACCAGCTTGGTGCCTGGCGTCCAGAAGCCTTCTGGTTTAGAAGGTCACCCGGAGGACCTATCGAATCAGTTGGGCTCCTGGACGGTGGATATTGTTGATGCCTATAAAAAAAAAACTAGGAATAAACGACTTTGAAGCAGGCAACGATAACAAATGCTTCCCTTCGAAGTTCGAAGAAGTCACACTTCGTTACAAATGGACGATTTTTACCAAGCCAAACCACACACGTCTTAAAGAGATTAAAGAACTCTGTGGTCCAACTACCGATTGAAAAACAAATAACATAACCACCCGAGAACGACGAAGCCTCTATCGCTCACGGTTTGCCAGTTTCATAACAAAGCCTGGTCGTTACGTGCTTGGGTTCCATCCCGCACAGCGCGATATTCTGCAGCTGTGACTCGTTTGTATCGCTGGTGTACCCATAACATGGTAATTCCTGTCGTCGGCAGCGGCGGACCAGCTCCTGAAGCACCATTGCCTGTAGACCTTGGCCGCGGAAACCAGGTTCTGTGTAGCCTATGCTCATGGCCCCGTAAGCGTTCACGAGAGACCAAGAGATAGGCTCGTCGAGTGAAATGTCTGGTTGCGTCTCGTCAGGTTCTGTTAGAAACATGCCGACGGCCAGGCCTGCCCGCTGGCCGACCTCTATCATTGGCGATATGTCTTGGTATAACTCACGGCTATACCACCATCGGTTCTCCACCTTGGCGAGGTGGCGCTGCTCTAGCGAGCGGACCTCCAGTCCAGTCTGATGGACCGGCGGCGGGTCGGGCAGGTCGTCAGGTCGGACGAAAAGCCGCAGCGTCTCGTTCACATCCACGATTCGTCCGAGGCCGTGACGCTCGGCAGCCGTTCTAAACACATCAGCCAGGCCTTCTGCCATGAACTCGACCCTGACGGGCCGCCGCCAGAGCTCCGCCAGCTCGGGCGCCCGCAGCAGGCCGTCGAGCCGCCGCCGGCCGGCCGCGCTCTCCGGGCCGCAGACGTCCAGCACGGCGCGGCCGGGCGTCATCTCCATGGCCGTCACCGTCACCAGGTCGGTGCCCTCGGTGCCGGCGGCCAAGAGCCGGAACGGCGCCGGGTTGACGCGCGCGCGCAGCAGGCGGAGCACGGTGCGCGTCTGCAGACTGAGGGCGCCATAGCTGGCCAGCCGGGACACCAGCGAGGGAATGTGCTCGGCAGAGAGTCGCACCACGCCGCCACTCGCCATCGTGCCGACGGGCAAACTGACAAACCAGACGGCTTTACATGAACTCAGTCGGTTGTCATAACTGCTACAAGGTCAAGGGAGAGTCTGTGGTCCATGGCAAAAGTTTGTGTGGTCCATCTCGGCGTGAAACTCTGGCCTGTTGCAGCCCTTGCTGTTTGCAAAAAAAAGGAAAAATAAATTGTACACTCAAAACTTTTTACTACCTCCTGGAGAGTTCATTTTCATCAAACCCGCAAGATAATAGTATATTGAAAGGGTAACTCGCTGCTACCATTATGTGCATAGTAACGGTACGTGGTTAATATGAACTTATTCGCCAGCGGAGAGTATTATTACCATGTAAATATCAATATTCTCTCGCGATCCAGAACATCACGAAAACTCTTTCCTCCTGGGTATCGTGACTCGGGTACAGATAGTCGTTTCATGCGTGGATCTTGTTTACCCTCGTGAAGATGATATTTGAAATGGAAACAATCAGCCAATCAGAAACGAGATCGGCCGTTTGCGGTTTGAAGGCCGCGCGCATCTGTCAGTTTTCGGCCGTTGGTCTCCGAGAGCGGATGTGAGCAGTGTCGGTGCCGCGCGGCGTGGCCGTTGGTGATTGTGCTTGTGTGTTGTTCATCGCCTATAGAGCCTCTGTGGACATTTTATTGTAAGTACCGATGTGCTAGAGCAGGGGTCGGCAAATGGTGGGGCATGCCCCCTTTGGGGGTAATGGAGCCCTTTCGGTGGGGGTAATGAGGGATTCTGAGAAAGCCTATCTTTTTAGAGTTTGTAGCTCCAGTGATGGAGCCATCGTGACTGTTGCATCCCAGGGTTCAAAGATTAGCCCAGGCCAAAGGCACAGCACACCTTGATTGATTAGATACCAATTTTCATGTACCTGCTCGCCTCACCATCTCACCCCTCCGTACAGTCGTACAAAAGCAGCTGCAACTTTTAACCGTCGCCCGTCTGTTAAGGCGTTTCAACAGCCGCTAACGTAAGGGGGAGGAGTCGATCGGACCCCCGCGGCCTCTCGGACTCTGAGATGGAGCTGTACATAAAAAAGACGAGCGTGCTACCCGTGACAATAGGAAGCCGCTGCTGCCCATTTTTAAGGTCCTTGGTCATTCCGTCTCATTCAAGAGGGCAATGACAAGTGTCGAGAAAATCGGGACCCGCTATAACTTCTTGACGTGAGATTTTATGGCTCAAGATGATCTCCAGAAAAAGCTCATAAGCCAACGGTCATTATGGGTCCAGAGACCAGTTTCACCAACAGAAAAATAGCCGCCTGCCGGAATTTTTTGCTAAAGATCGTTTCACATATGGAGCGTAAACGGTAAAGCCCTATCCGCTTACGAGCCCATCGCGTTTACGCTCCGCATGTAAAGCGGTCTTGAGGCAAAAATTCCGGCAGGCGGTTATTTTTCTGTTGGTAAAACTGGTCTCAGGTCATGAGATTTTCCGAGCTGGTAAAAAAAAAATGATGGGCTCGAGGGTACAATTTGGTCGTGATCCAATGCCTTTTACGTGAGCTTTTAACGAAAAACCACCCGCCGCCCGTAAACGTACAAGGGTTAAATGGGATATAGCATAGGCGACGGAACGGGGAGGGCACCGGGGCACCGTGCCCCCTTTGATTTTTGCATTTTAACATTAGCCCTATGGCGTTGCATGGAAAGAATGGGACCAAAAGTCGGCAGTGCCCTCCCCCCCCTCCCCCTTAATTGAAGGTGTTCCGCCGCTACTGGGATATAGGTATTAAATGTTTTGTGGAGGAAGTGTCATGTTTTAAATTTGATGCATTGGAAATGCACAAATACCCAAAGAGTTCCAGGACGGTATGGAATTTCAGTAAACTTGGTTGTGTCAGCAATGGGCTCTGGTAGGTGGGGGTAATGGCCCTGCCTGGCGCCCAAAAAGGGGGCACGACCCCGAATGACCTGCCGACCACTGTGCTAGAGCATTGTGTGCCGTTGAGTGGTGCTAATTTGACCTGGTTAACAGGACTCCGTGCACGGCCACGTGGCCTAGTGTTGTGAGTACGTACATTAATTTCGTTGTGATGCTACAAGTTTATGCATTTTGTTGGTGACTTTGAAAAAGCCTTGCACTGTAGTGATCCAGTCTCATTATCTCACGCAGACGGGCGACCACCCAGGAACGCCGTCGCTCACTTCAAAGATTGTGCGCTCTGCCTAATCCAATATGAGGGCGCTGAATGTCTTGTACTCATATTCAAATTGCATTCAAGTTGTATCGTGGTGTTTATTTACCGCTTGTGCATTGCTGAACGCTTTCTATAAATTTGTATGAATAAGTGAAGAGTCTCACAATGTTCATGGTTGGTGTGCCCCTCGTATTGTTTGTACGGAAGCCAAATATACCTACATTGTTGCTCTTGAAACATTTTTTTTTTAGTTGGTGAGCTCCGGTTAACAGAAGCTTCGTGAAGCTTCTGAAGGAAGCGTCTGTGGGTCTGTTACCATCCTCTGGGGGGTTTACACTAAAGGAAAGAGTAAACATTACCATGTGACAAAGGGTAGGCCATAAGAATATACTCTCTGTAGGAGGGTAAAGCACAGAGTAGATGATGCGTTACTCCATAAAAAAGGGTTCCGTTAAAGATTTACCCTTTCAAAGAGTGTAACCCAAAAAATGTTACACTCTAGACAAGAGTAAATCAAAAGAGTTTACCATTCAGAAGATGGTAAAAAACGTCTGTGTGTCATGTTACCCCTCCCTGGCGAGTTTACTCTTCATGAAAGAGTAAAATTTACCATCTGGAAGGTGGTAAAAAACGTCTGTGTGTCAAGCTACCATGCTATGGCGGGTTTACCCTTCAGGAAATGGTAAAAAAGTTTTCAGTGTATACATTAACTGAGCTGTGATCTTTCAACTTCAGATATGTTATCCAACTCTTTGATGTACATATACATGCATGACCATACTTGTGCCGAATGCGTACTATATGGGTATGCATAATGTATATGTTTCTACTAACTCGATGCATTTCTACTTATTGGATGCATGTCGCATAGGTATCCTAAACCAAACGAACTAGTCGATGCAGTATCGATATACACGTACACATTACACACATAAATGGGTGCCTAATGCATCTCATCAAACTACATTTTGTATTTGGGGAGGCTGTCGGATAACAGAACTATGTAAGTGAAATAAATGTTTATTAACGATAACGAACATCTGCTGTATGGTGTCTGGTGTTTTGGAATTCGATGCTGGAAAACGCGCAGTTCAGCACTGACCTTTGGAATGAACTGCTCCGGTCTGGGTGACCTTCCGGTCGTCATCGAATCGAATGTTTGCTGTAACTCTGACGGGAGGATGCTCGATGGCAAGTGACCTGTGTCCGCTGACTTACATATGTGTAATGACCTGGTGAACCTTCACCTGTACCTGATAACCCGGTGACCTCTTGCATGTGCCTGATGGACCGGATGACCTGTTTCAACCCGGCTGACCTATCACAGAGTCTTTTATGACCTCGGTGACCTTTCGCATGTGTGTCATGACCCTTGTGACCTGCCACATGGTCTCTGATGACCCGTGTGACCTATCACAGGGTCTCCGATGACCTCGGTGAGACACAGCCGTCACTGCTGACCTCCGGTGGACTGGTGAGCCACAGCCTCACCAGTCTGGTTCTGACCGGCCAGGCATCTCCTCACCTGCACAACGGCATCGTATGGCGGCAGCTCGAGGCAGGAGCCAAGGTGAGACAGAGCTCAGAGCTAAAGTTGAGTCAAAGGACCCAAACCAGAGACTGGTAAGTCACAGCTTGGAGCCCAATTTTCAGCGTAATGCCGTAAATGTGTACCTAAATGTTGCAATTCGTGATACAGTTAATGCTGTAAAAGGTCATTTATTTCACTAATAATCACCAGACTTATGATTCCACTCGTAGCTGACCTGTAGTGTGTATGCCAACATAAAAAGGTACAATGATAGACAGACTCAACCAAAACAAAGCGTGCATTAGAACTCTTTACGTATCGTAGGCTACATCTCTGTTATCACGTGACCCGGCAGGTGGCCCTGCACGGCGTGCCGGAGCGCAGTGACGTGGGCTTCCTGCTGTGGGAGGAGGCGGCTGCCGACCTGCTGAGGACAGAGGTCGGCTCTCGGCTGAAGACGCCGCTGCTGCCCATCTGGCTGACCTGCTGCCACGCACAGTACGGCGTCATCTTCCACCTGAACAGGGAGCTCACCAGGGACTACAGGGCGGAGCATAGGTGAGGGACCAGGGGGAGCACAGGTGAGGGACCAAGGGAGCACAAGTGAGGGACTACAGGAGAGAGGCAGAGCACGGATGAGAGGCTACGCAATAGAGAACAAATGAGAAGCTACGAGTCAGAAAGGACAGGTCAGAGAGCATAACAAGATGCTTACGATTTTTCTCATAAATTGCACTATAAATATCGAATATAAGTTGCAATGTATGTGGTAAATTATTTGTACACCAAGCCCTCGCCTTGAAGTCGTTTTGTCACTAAGTTCCAGGCCAATTGTTCTCTGACCCGGTATCGCTCGTTATACGGCAGATTCGACCTGCACTACTACACCGGTGACGAGGCGCACCTGGAGCGTCCCACGCTGATCGCCGTGGATACCAAGTCCCGTCCTCTACCCGGCCCCCGGAGAGAGGAGGGGGAGGAGGAGGAACAACTGCCGCCTCTCAACGAGCTCATACTCTCCAAGTGAGTCGAGTGATTTATTTCACTGTGATGCTTACCTACAAGCGTTGCACAAACTCGAGCCAATGGGGGATGACCGTTTCAGCTAGGTATACCTACCTACCTAGCTGACAGCTGTTCAATACAGCAGCCGATAAGAAGACTTCACGTAAGACTCTCATGGTGTGTTTAAAATGAGAAGGAACGGATGATGCAAAGTATACTTTGTTAATTCAGATCAGAACCCACTTGAAACACAATTTCATTTCCTACCATACCGTACCCATACCCGGACGTGAGCAAATATGTATTGTGCTGCCACCAGTGAATGCTGTGCTGCCCTCTGTTCAAGCTTCTGCATTTCTCCGCCAGGTGGCCAGAGGCCTCCATCGACTGGAGAGGCACCGAGCCATATCTGTAGAATGCGCGTCGGGCTCACACGCCGAGACCGTGTGCCGTGGTGGGTACTGGGTGGACCTCCGGCTGATACAGCGAAACAGGCCGCCCCTCGCAGCGAGCTTTCTGATAATGACTTTGGTGTAAATGTGATGTGAAGGACTTGACGGGTCCGATTTCCGCTGGACGGATTTGTAGAATATTTTCCCGGCATGGTCCCGGCATTGAATATTGTCCCGGTGTTTGTCACCTACATTTAGCGAGCGTCGCTATCAACCGTTTACGGGCACCTATGGAAGAAGACAATAGCCGTTTTCACGACGGGCTATCCGGCGAGTGCACCTGATTTGACCAAATCTGCAACTAATTTCTTTTACAACAAATATCTTTATTTTATGAATTTATTTCAGTGTTTTAATCGATGATACTCTCTGATAATATGACAAAGCAGGCATATAAGCAAATAGTGCAACCCTAGCTGATAGCTACTAAGAGACACACTGAACCTGATTTGACCAAATCTGCACCTGTCTGCACCAGATGTGCACCAAATGTGTACCAAATGGCCGTCGTGAAAACGGCTAATGTGTCAGTTGTCACCTTTATGCATTTCTTTCATGACACTATTGTACAATTATATTTCATTCATTTCATTCATTTCATTCATTTCATTCATTTCATTCATTTCATTCATTTCATTGCATTTGGTTAGTGATAAGACTGAATGTCAATTGTCTAGCCTCCATAAACGGACTGACTCGGCTCTAGCAGCGCTTATCGTAATGTGCTTATATTGCTGCCGTTGTACTTCAGTTGTGCGGTAGATGTAGAGCAAACTAGTGTCATTTAGTTCGTACATACGGGCCCCTAAATATCCGACAGAGAATCGCTGAAACTTTCCCTGGCGTTATGGGAAGTTGGAGAAGTTATAATGGCGTGTTGTACATGGGCAGTTTGTATGTAGGTGTTTGTATTTACCCATCTTCTGCATTTGTTTTTGTATTTTGCTGATGCGCTACTGTCATTTGCCATTTTCAAACCATCGCTTTTGACTTGTGGGCATTACAAGCTGCTTATGATAAAAGGGATCGAGCAGTTAACTTATTGGGTAATATTTATATTAGTGGCGAGATGAGAAACCTAAGCACTTGTACCTATGTAGGCAGAAATGTTCAAGAGACGATGCTTTTATAATGAACATTTGCCGCAAGGAACTGAACACAAATAGCCTGTGTAGACAATTATAGTGACATATTGCTACTGTGGCAAAGCTAAAAGATTCGGCATGTGCGGTTGTTGTAAATGTGATACATGTATTTAGAACAATATACAGCAAATGCAAAAATAATTGGTGAGCATGGACAAGTGTATGGGGTTGGTATAGCTAGTCAAACCGGACCATTTCTTTACAGCCGATGCCGAAGCATTATTTTTCGAATCCCATTCCTTTGCCCTCCCCGCCACTCAGACTTGCGAGTAAGCTCCTCTTCTTGACTAAACGGAACGACGGCTCCTGACGGTTACTCGCTCGTATGATCTATTTCGTTCACCGTCCCCTGGAGTGACCCTGACCTTCGTGTGACTCAAGTGACTGTCTGATCCTCTGGCAGGGCGGCCGGCCGCTCTGAGCATCAAAATGAGATGTGTGTGGAAATGAAGCTGACGTGTTAGTGGAAGCGCTTACTCGTAGAAAGAAGAAAACAGTGTGTGAGACAGTGGAAGTGTATGAGATCGTACTTCATTATCATGCTCTTTGATATCGACAGTTCCAAGCAAGAACATCCTTCGTGTCAAATTTTTCGAAGTTGAGATTTTTATACCATTCGACTCAGCTCGACGAGCTGAGAGGACCATATTATGGTCGGTAAGTTTCGTCACTTCCCACTTTTTTGTCTTCATTCCTACCCGCTGTCGGATCTATGTAAGCCTGGAAATCTAGAACAAAAGTAAGGTTGCCAGCCTGCCAATGGTTAAAAATTTCTGCGGATTTGAATAGGCGCATCGCTGGGGCTTACTTTCCGCCTTGGGATGAACTTGCTTTCAGTTTAGAAAAATGGACACTTGCAGTTTTGATTGTTAACTTTTGTCAGGCTTCTACATATAGACAATTAACCCGCGCACCGACGGGGGTCTGCGCCAACTTAGTACCGACGGGGGGGGGGGGCGGATGACCGCCCCCCCCCCTGAGATCTCGAGAACGAAGCAAGATAGCGACAAGCGATAAACGGCATCGGATACGCACGGACAAGGTCTACAATTTTTACTAAGGTCATTTTCAGGTCAGGTCAAAGATGACGTCACAGGGGTCGAAAAAGTCAAAATGGCGGCGCTAGATATGGAGAGGGTTTTTCTCGAATAACTTTCGAAGTAGTCAAGATAGGAACAAACTAAGGGCATCATCGTGATCCTCTCGTCAATCCGCATCGAATGATATATATGTTGACCTCGAAAGGTCAAGGTCAAAGGTTGACCTCAGGTCACGTGACCTCGAGGTCATCATGTATATCATTCGATGCGTCTTGACGAGCTGAACACAATGAGACCATCCGCGCGGCTGTATCTTGTTTCTGTAAGGAGTTATTGGCAAAAAAACCTTTGGTGACCTTTGATGACGTCACATGACCTTACAGCTGCCCAACAGCAAAACAGACCTCAAGGTAGTGAAGGTTGATCGTATGTGAAGTCATGTATGGTATATGGGGCCATTCCGACCCGTTTTAGTGGTAAAAACAGGGAGTTGATTTTTCCCCCATTGACTTATAATGGGGAGGTCGCGAAATTGACCTGACCTTAGGTCACCGACATCAAAATTCCGAGATATACAAATTGTAGCTACTAATGACCTAATAACATCCTGCGACTTTCAAAGGCCTCCGACATCTACTGTAGCTCTGGCACGGTGACAAAGTTGCAAAAAAGTGACTACAGCGGTTGGGTCATTCAAAGTGACCTGGTGACCTGACCTTAAAAGTTAGGAGGTTCAAACTTCCACACCATTTTTAAAATTGATGAGAGAATAGTCATACCAAATTTCGCGGCGCTACGCGCCGCGGTTTTCCCGCTATCTGCGAAAAACCTCAGGGGGGGGCGGATATCCGCCCCCCCCCGTCGCACAGTGTGGCCGAACACCAGTTTAGCGCGAATTTAATCCCGGCGCCCCTCGGATCCACTGAAAATGGTTCTCTGGTTCCAAAACTGATATTTACCCCTCGCCGGACCTATTGGTTTTCAAAATACGCGCCGGCCGAAGGGGGGGGGGTACGACCCCCGTCGCTGTTTCGCCCCTGATGAAGCTAGAGCCTCGCGGAAAAAACGAGCGTGTGTGCCGTTACGAGACGCAGCAACTGGTATCCGATTTTAAGGTCTCAGGTTAACCTGTGACCTCTGAGCTCAGGTCAAGTGGCCCAAGGCACGGATTCGTTTTTTTATTAATAACTTCGCGAAAAAATGCCGCAGAGCCGCAATTTTGGCATCATCGTGTTCGCCTAGCTCAGGTGCATCGAATGATATACTTTTTGCTATAGGGTGAGGTCAACTTAAGTAGTTGACCTCGGGTCAAGGTCAGGTCAGAGCCCCTCAGGTCACGAAGCTGGTCGAAGGAGGTCATGTTGCATTTCATTCGATTCGGCAGGTCTTCCTGAGTCCATTGGTGTCTTTCCCGTCTCGCTAGCTCAATTTAATCGGGAGTTATTGACGAAAAAGTATTATTACCCTAGTGACGTCATAAATGACGTCACGTAAGGCCAATAATGCAAAAGTGAAGCATCGGACCTTGCAAGGAGTGCATGAAATCACGATTCCGTGTGCTTGAGATAGTTAATTAGGCTGGAGCCTGTTCGGCCGCGCCGCCCTCGACCTTGGTCAGGTCACGCCGGGCGGCCGACTAGACATGTTCAAAGCTGAATTGACGGCAAATAGGCAAAAAGTGGCAGCTGAAACTTGCTCGCTTATGTTCAGAAATGTGCGGAGAGTTCAGCCATGCCCTATTCGTCATATCCATTTTTATCCATTTTGACATTTTCCAACTTCTTTATGAAATACTATCGTGAGAACGATACACATGCAGGGCTCGTGTTCTAACTCATTTAACTCAGAAACCATTCAGTGAAAAACTACCACGATAGCAGAAACAGCTTCATCATGAATTGTGCTATCCGGTGATATGCTATTTTCTCATATATCTTCTCGAAGCTTCCGTAAAATTTACATTGAAAACTGGACATATTTCTCAGTACCATAGCCCGATTTCAGGAACCGGAGCGTGGGTCTACTTTCGGCAGGGATATAAGTCCTCAAATGATAAAGTGGCTTAAAAATAAGGTTCTATCCGATAACTTTGGACAATTTCCTACCCATTGATAGGTATAAATAACAGTTTATCGAAAGTCGGGTTTTTTGATTAAATTCGCGCTAATCTGGTATTCGGCAAGACCGTGCGTCGGTGCGCGGGTTAAGTTTTATGCCTTGGCCCTGCCTATTTGTTTTCATTAAAGTATGTCCATAATCTGTCAAATCTGTGTCTTTTCTCAGGAAACCTAATCAATAACGTGCATGAAGTTACTTGCATGTTACAGTTATTTGCATGAAGAAAGAGCTGTTTGAAGGTGAGTACCGAAACCCGAAGTTGACGGACGGAGGGACCGGGACACAGCACAACTATTCCCATCAAAACTCGAATAGCGCAACACAGTCTGAGACACGCAGCAAATCGATTTTTTATCAACTAATCGTAAATGCTTTTGCACATTGAGCGGCTGCTGCATCGTCAACGTTAAAAAAGCTTGTTGCAGTCGGAATATTTTCATATGTGATTTCCGCCGATCTGTCTACTCTAAAAGGTGGCAATGCCTATCACATTGACAGAAATCGATAACCATTCGTCCCCATGAGAGCCCCTAAATTCGTCACAGCCGACGGCAGTTATATTGTCGGTCGGGTTCATCTGTCTCTCCCCCTCTTTCCCTCTCCCCTCGCTTCAACCAGAGCAGCGGCAGCTTGTAATACGCTGCGAGGCGGCCGCTTTTCTGGTAATCCACTCATAATCTCATTAGGGACAATTTGTGCGGCCTGACCCCCCGTTGGTGTACCCCGTCTGGTGGTGCACCCCCTCGGTGCGACACTGTGCGCCACATCAGACCGCAGTGCGCCGTGCCACGCCGCAGTGCGCCGCGACACGCCGCGCTGCGCCGAACTGCGTCCGCCCTAATGCCTGTTTGGTGGCAAAGCGGTGTGTTTTGCGGCGGCACACAATTGGTGCTGGTGATCCCATCATTAGCAGATAGTACCGGTATTATGTGGTGTTGGTGGTGTTTAGCAGAGCGAGCCGAGGTAGAGCGGGGAGGGAGAGGTAGAGTGGAGGTGATGGACGAATGGTAAGGAGATAGGGTATAGAAAGAAGGGGGATAGTTTAACCCGCGCACCGACGGGGGGGGGGCGGATATCCGCCCCCCCCCCTGAGGTTTTTCGCGAATAGCGGGAAAACCGCGGCGCTACGCGCCGCGAAATTTGGTATGACTATTCCCTCATCAATTTTACACATGGTGTGCAAGTTTGAACCTCCTACCTTTCAAGGTCAGGTCACCAGGTCACTTTGAATGACCCAACCTCAAGTCACTTTTTTGCAACTTTGTCACCGTGCCAGAGCTACAGTAGATGTCGGAGGCCTTTGAAAGTCGCAGGATGTTATTAGGTCATTAGTAGCTACAATTTGTATATCTCGGAATTTTGATATCGGTGACCTAAGGTCAGGTCAATTTCGCGACCTCCCCATTATAAGTCAATGGGGGGAAAATCAACTCCCTGTTTTTACCACTAAAACGGGTCGGAATGGCCCCATATACCATACATGACTTCATATACGATCAACCTTCACTACCTTGAGGTATGTTTTGCTGTTGGGCAGCTGTGAGGTCATGTGACGTCATCAAAGGTCACCAAAGGTTTTTGGCCAATAACTCCGTACAGGAACAAGATACAGCCGCGTGGATGGTCTCATTGTGTTCAGCTCGTCAACACGCATCGAATGATATACATGATGACCTCGAGGTCACGTGACCTGAGGTCAACCTTTGACCTTGACCTTTCGAGGTCAACATATATATCATTCGATGCGGATTGACGAGAGGATCACGATGATGCCCTTACTTTGTTCCTATCTTGAATAGTTCGAAAGTTATTCGAGAAAAACTCTCTCAATATCTAGCGCCGCCATTTTGACTTTTTCGACCCCTGTGACGTCATCTTTGACCTGACCTGAAAATGACCTTAGTAATAATTGTAGATCTTGACCGTGCGTATCCGATGCCGTTTACCGCTTGTCGCTATCTTGCTTCGTTCTCGAGATCTCAGGGGGGGGGCGGTCATCCGCCCCCCCCCCCCGTCGGTGCGAAGTTGGCGCAGACCCCCGTCGGTGCGCGGGTTAAATGAAAAGAGTTTTATTTGACCTTATTGATTACTAAGCTGTGCCACTAAAGGATGAAAACATATCGTCAGTATGCATGTATGTACCTGCTCATAAATCGCATCTGTCAACGGTATAGCTGAGGCAAGTATGATTTTATTTTATTCCTTCAAGATTATTTATGCATTTATTTCTTAGTAAGGGATTGGAAGCTCAACATGGTCACATTGCGTTTGTTCTGAAGCTCAGAAATATATCACTCTGTGAGTTATCTACGAAATGGTTTTGTGCTGGGCGAGTAAAATACATATGGATCGCAAGCCGTTTGAAATGTGCCCTTTCCTTGTTCATTTATCGGGAGCGATTGCCTGTCAAGCTCTTACAACTTGCAGGAGTAAAAATGATGAATGATGAACAAAAGGTGCTAAAAAGAAAGCAAATTTCATCTCTCTTCCACTTCGCCCCTAGCATGAGTGTAACGATATCAGCTGCATTATGCAAAAGATATTGAAGTACCAGATGGATGTCAAATTCGATTGCAAAATGCGTATGTTCCGCCTCCTGTGATAAAAATCACCATCTGTGTTCGTATTCAGTGTTCCGTCTGCGACCTCCCTATCTTTCCCTGGTATGTGCTTCCTCCCTCAGTTGTCTGCGTATCATGTAATCTATTTGCCCTTTTTATGAGCGAGATATGTGTCCTACCCAAGTGACTCGTATAAACTACACTACAATTTGCATCTACGTTTTCTACGTTCGTTGCAAGTGTTGCCTACTGTTTGTTATCGTACCGTCTACCCTTTATTGCCCGTACAGTCTTCTGTTCGTTTTCTGTACCTATCATCTATGGTTTTATCCGTGTCGTCTACTGTGCGTTGCCCATGTCGTCTACTGAAGGTTACCCGTGTCATCCCCTTTTCATGTGAGTATTTATGTGTCGTTTGCATTTCTCTTTATTCCCTTGTCATCTCCTGTGGGCACCGCACACTGCACTTGCCGTCTAGCAGACTTGCCGTCCGTCCTTCGTGCAGTATAGTCGACTACAGAATGATGTTCCACTCGTCAGAAGCTGTCAGTTGACCGGAGCGCTAAGTTGTGCCGTTTATCACGCAATTAAGCGTGTCGATTGTGAGCATTGGGACAAAGCTATAATTTGTGAACTCAGTCCGTGTGATGTGGCACAGCCTACCACTCCAGGCAAATTAATTGCCTGTGAAAAGTGGAACACCATTCTGTAGTCGACTATACGTCGTCTAGAAGCGGTGTTGACTGCTGAACTCGTTTTACCGACTGCCAGCATTACATATTGAGCTGAGCTGTCCGCCGTCTGGATGCAGCAGTGTTGAGCTGCCATTGTCTGTCGGCTATAGATGCAGCAGTGCAGTGTCGAGCTCCGTCTGCCGGCTGCAGCAGTGTACTGCCGTCTGTCTGCCGGGTGCAGCAGTGTACTGCCGTCTGTCTGCCGGGTGCAGCAGTGTACTGCCGTCTGTCTGCCGGCTGCAGAGCGGGCAGAGGTCCCCCACCAGCCGCCGGCTGCTCCTCCCTGCCCAGCCATTGGACGAGCGCCGCCACATCGCCACTTTTTGCCGCACCACCGGCGTACCAATGGCGCGCCGCCGTGCGCCACGTCTGCCGTCGCCGCGCACGGTCCGCCGCCGCGCCACGACTCGCCGCGCCGGCGCCACTAATGGCCTGCCGGGTTTATTTTGGACGCGTTTTATTATCTTAGGTCGTCGGCACGACACTCACCCAGCCAAAGCGACTTGTCATGTGGAAATATAATTGATTTCTACCCGGGGTCTGTTTTGGGGGAAGATAACTGAAGACGGTCGCTTTGTGGAAAGCATGTGGACATTGGCGACACGTCCAAAGGCAAATTCTAACGAGTGACGAGCTGTGTTGTTCATTACGGGAGTAGGTCACCGTTTTCGGGGCCGCGTGACGGTCGGTATGTGATGTCCGCAGACTCGGGACCAGAGTTCGGCGCGTCGGCGGCGCGGAGCCGCACGGCCTGTTTTCTGGACGGGTTGGGGTGCCCCTTTGTGTTCCATTGTCACGGAAGGTGCGCCCTGAAAGCGAGCTGATCACCCCTCAGTCCAAAACAGACGGCGCCTGTGTTGTGGCCGACGCCGGCCAGGGCTTATCTGAACTCAGCCCGGGACCGTGGACCGCGTGGTCTCGAGGACCGCGTGGTCCACACTAGCGCACGCCTGTTTTCCACACGCACTTTTACGCGCGAAGAGCGGCGTTAAAATCGCGGCTCACACAAGGGGTGCGGGCTGGTGTCAGTTTCGCAGATTAGGTTCAGTTAATAACAGATAAGGCCCGTGAAATGCACAGGTATCGGCATTGTTGGTGGACTAGTGAGGGGATTACAGGATTTAATGGTGAAAGAATGCGTGCCGCACGGTCCACCCAAGTGGAAGAGAAAAGCGGCGGAGTATTTTCGCACGGCTCTGCTGCGCAGCTATGTATGTTATTGGCACGATGTCTATCAAGGGTGGGTTTATGGGTGCGGAAAACGGCCGTTTTACCTGGCAAACAGGACAGTTACGGGTTGGGAGCCAGCCGGTGGCACGCTTCGGGTCCGGCCACCGTCGAAGCAGTTCTGAAGTGGCTCGTGACTAGTGAAGTTAATTACAGAAAATCGGTAAACCGATACCAAACCAAATGCCAACCAAAACCATGGGAACTTGGGAGTGTGAGAGAAATGCCATTTATTATCAACCAAATTTACAGCCTTGTATGCATTGGTGAGGATTCAGAATGCCGAGAAAATACCAAAAACATAAAAAATTGAAATAACAAATACCAATTTGGTATCGGGTTAGTATCGCTATACCAAAAAGAATTTATTTTATCTATCTGATCACTGATGTCAATGTATAAGTAAATGTATTTTTTTATCACGTTTGACTTGGGCTGTCATTGGGAGTTTTGTAATCCTGTAGCCCATCGATACAAATAAATAAATAAATAGATAAATAAAATAGATAGTATTTGAATTCTGACCAACATCTTTACTCGTGACTGACATGCTTATTCCGTGAGATGATTTTGTGCATGGTTTTGCTCACCTGACAATGTTTGCAGATAAAATCTAAGCATGCCTTCTCTATAATTAACATCACCGGCAATTATTAAACGCTCAGTAATAAGGTATGAACATTTGTTGAGACGTTTTTGGAGCGAAAAAGTCAATATCCTAAATATTGTAACATTATAAACTTAAGAGTACCACCTGCCTATAAGGCGATTGGTCTCGACATTTTGCACATAAGTTTGGTTCAGTCATTCCCACAATTGCGTTGGAAGGATAATTAGTTCCACAGTAAAGAGCTGCGCTTCGGTTGAACACTTCTTTTCTTTTTCTAAAAATAAAATAATAAAGTCAAGAGAACGTTACTATCATCAGATTATCTATTAGATATGATCCACAGCTATTTCATATCAGCTCTGCTTCGTCCACGAGAATTTTTAGCTTCGAAAGAGGGGAAGTAACTTGAAATAGTGCCTTGGCGAAACACTTGCCTTTACACACAATCGTTCAGTTCCTTTCAGCCCTACTGAAAAGAAGCAAATTTGTTTCTTTACTGATCTCACAATGTCACTGTCTCAACTACAGGAGAGTGTAAAGTAAACGACAGATTTCATAAATCACGACTTCTAATCTTAATTTGATCTTGACCAGGCTCGAAAAAATTGTCATATTACTCTTTGAAACTGGTCGCAGATGGAAATTTATTATCGCCATCTTACTTTCTCAATGGCAGGTATTGGACGCCTAACGTATGTGTAAAAACCGCCATCCCATTAAATTGACAGAGAAATGGAGTTCGTTTGGATGTAACCTGATTTATGGCTCGGAGGAGCGCGGTTGGCCCTCCGCGAAATAAAAGAAACATACTTGGATGTCGGTGGCATGTTTGGTCGGCTTGATTTGTGCACCGGGTAAAATTACTCCGCCATTGAGCGCCCAAACCAAGCGCTGGTCGCGGCAGACAGCGTGGAGAATCAATTTCCGAGTATGGGTTTATTGCTAATCGGTCGAGTCATTTATGGTCGCAGGGGGCGGGGCGCTGCCCGGGGGTGTGGGTCTGTGAGGGGAGGGCGAGACGGTCACACACACGGGGGAGGAGTGAGGGTCGTTAGGACACTGAGATACCGTGAGGAAGGGGTGAGCCATCCTGTGGTGAATATATACTCCTTTTGTCACATCTGTGGTCTGTGGTTAACAGTGGGGGGGGGGCTGAGGGACTAGAGGATCGGTACAGCTTTTTATTTAAACTGCTCTAGGTGACCAGCTAGCGTGCTCTGGTATAAGCTGGAAAACTACGAAGAACACCAAATGTCATGTGATTAGCATGAAAAGCAGTAGCCTGAGGTTGAACTGGAAATAGCGGTATCAGTCGTCAGTTTATGCATTCGAAGTCTCTTATGCTGTATTCACGTTACGATTAGCTCGTAAATGTTAAACAGCAACTTTTTAGAGCAATCGTTAATAACTTGAGCTTGAAGAAAGAAAAATGTGATAAGACATCAATTACCGCACTGTGTTATGCCTCACAACTGAACTATATTGCAGAACAAAACAAAATGAGAAGTAGTTATTGTTTCAATCTTTTGTCATCCGGTATTGTATCAAAACAAGACTTTTGCTTTCTCAACAGAAAACATTTAACAGTGGGTAATATCGGTAATATCGGTCGGTAATAGTTTCCAGCCTGAGGTTATACTCAAGGCTTATGCTATTCCCGTTCCGTCTGCGTATTATGTATCACCACTACTGGACTCCTCTGTTGTTCTCTGTCCACACACACATTTCCCCATCCTCTGCCCTATCGGTGTCGACGCTCTCTCCCTCTCTCCGTCGGGAGCCCCGCTGCGCGGCTGTGATTGGGTTTGCGGGTCCGTCGACGGATCGCTTAGCGGTAATGCTGGCTCGGCGTCCGGCTGACCCCCGGCTGGGCGACCCCCGCCGTCCCCGCTGGGCCTGCTAGGCCCCCGGGGTCCATTCGGGTCTGTCTGGGTCCGGTCAGTTCCCGCAGAGCTGCTGTCCACACTGCACACACCGACCAACCGCTCCCGTTTTTGTCCCCGTCACCGATACGAGGCATAGCTTCACAGCCAGCTCCGCCGCCACAGGATATCCAGACAGTCGATAAGAACTGCGCTCGAATTTGCATCGGCCACTATATCATTGGTTGGGGTATGTGCGTGGCCGCGGCACCCCCGAGGGAGGGCAGGCGCCCCCCGCAGGAGCTTCCGCCAGAAGGGGTACCGCCCGCCACGCATACACCATATTTATGCCGCAATATGAAGTCACTGCGGGACAATGGCAGCTGGCAAAAAGTCGCCACCTTTTTGCCAAAATCGAAGTGGAAATATTACTTGTGTGCGCCACGGGTGAGCTCTCTGCGCCATAGAGCGTCGACATCGTGCTGAGAGTGAACCTGGAAGGCGCGCAGACATGCCTGGTCAACGATGGTGACAGGCCATATATTAATAGCCGAATATCGACACTCAATGCTTGCTCGAGGAGGACTAGCGGCTAGGTAAAGACAAGTTCGACAGCATCTGATGTGTGTACAACATGAGAAGAGTTCAAGCTACGCCCTGTGACATGGACGCGCATTACACATGGTTGACATATGCTGCTATAAATGACGTGATAATATTCAGGTTTTGAAACGTTATATTGGTTTATGAAGTGGATTACGTCTGTTGCAGCAGCGGCGTCACTGGTTGAGATGTAATCCCAGTAGTACAACAGCTCCTATAGGAGTAGCAGCGAGCATTGACTCTCCTGTCAAATCAACATTGGCATTAGAGACAATGCCGGAGATTACCTATCGGTGCATTAGCGCTAGGCATGCCGAAGCAGATGGCTATCATTTCGTCTTCACAGGGGCTCTCAGTCGGATCCGTTGATGCAAACACAGCGCTATTCATTCGGTGGAATTAATTGACAGAGCCCCGCTGTGATACATATTCCGATGGAGTCTGATTTTACCAGCACAGCGCAATCCAACTCTCAGCGTACAGTTACACACCTTCTGCAGACAATTAAAGCCTGACGATTCATCACGAATCTCGTTAGGTTCAAATTCAAAAAGCTTCTCTGCCGAATGGTAATGACAAACGCAGTTCTGTGCCGCCCGGGCCCTAATTTAGTGGACAGTGAAAAGGCAGTGCCGCATCTCCCTCCGACCGATATCCCGTAGTGCCCAACAAAGCCCTACAAATGAGAAACAACATTCCGCATCCTGGGTCGACCTCTCGCAGAGACACGATTATATTTAGTTCATATTTTATATTTAATCGCTGTCTTCTGACATTGGGAATTTAACGAGCGATGCACCGCCGGACGTAAATAAGAATCAAAGAAGCTCGAGCCCTTCGGAGGTTAGAATGACACGATCGAAATGCTTTCACCAGTGCTTGTGTGCGGTTTTTACACCGCCGGCGTGATCGGGAGCTTGGAACTGGTGATGGCACCACTGCTTTGGACACTGTCACCGCACGATCGGATGGCGATGAAGCCTGCAGTGCACGTCAGATGATAAGTCGCTTTATGATGTCAGTTATTGTTTGCTTTATCTGCATGATGTTTTTAACATTTTGAGTATACCGTTTTATCGGCACGATGTAGCAACCGCGATGATGTGATATAAAACAGGACCCAGGCGTTACATTTTCACTCAGGTTAGGTATGTAAATAAAACACCTTCAATTGATGTTTTCCATGGCAGCTTTTCATATCCCAAGCAAACTTCGAAGAGGGAA